ATCTGGCCAGGGCTTGCTTGTTTTTAATATAAAAAAGTTATTTTACAAATATAAAAACCCTTTCACAACAAAAGTGAAATGAATACGGCTCAAGCTGAAGGAAATGTAAATTCACGTCTGTACAGTAGAGGGCGCAGCTCAAACTAATCACATGAAGAATATGACGCAGGAGAAGAAAGTTCAACACTATTCAGCAATAACACAAATTATACACAAATGTAATTTTTGCTTATTGTTATGGATGAATTGGATCATTGAAGGTCAGCAGCAAAGACATTAGTTAATAAAATGGGATTAAATACATAAATGATATTTGTCTTATTTAACATATTTAATTATTGCAAGTTTGCATTTGACTGTTTTTATTGATTTTGAGGAACACTGAATCTGTTTTTGAGTAAACACATGTTGATATTTAGTCTAGAACTACAGTAAGATTTCACACACAACGCTCTGCACTTACTCCTGATTTCTGTCACCATGGCAACACCAGAGCTGTCACTCAACACATGGAAGCAAAGTAACTGCTGTTACTTATTTGAAAAAGTAACTGATATTTCCTTCTAAATTAAAAAGTAATGCGTTACTTTACTAGTTACTAGAAGAAGAAAAAATCTGATTACGTAACTTGTGTTACTTGTAATGCGTTACCCCCAACACTGATAACGAAAATCTATTGACATTTTCATTAACGAATAAAAACGAGACGAAAATATTAGGGAGGGACGATTAGACAGAGATCCAGTCAGAGCGAATCTCCTGCGTGGAAAGCAGCTCTGATCATAAGTTTGTATACACTTGCTGCACGCCTCATAAAACGTAAAAAAACGTCAGCGCCTGGGAGTAAGAAAGAGCAGACATATGGATAAATCCACAAATACACTGTATTTAAATCCATTCGATTTTAGCCGTCGTTTAGTCGTACAAGTTTTCTATAGTATTTTCTTTACTCTTTACTTCAAAAGCTACATCTGAAAAGGGTAATAGTTTATGTATTTGTGACCCTGGAGCACAAAACCAGTCATAAGGGTCAATTTTTTGAAATTGAGATGTATGCATCATCTGAAAGCTGAATAAATAAGCTTTCCATTGATGTATGGTTTGTTAGGAGGACAATATTTGGCTGAGATACAACTATTTGAAAATCTGGAATCTGAGGGTGCAAAAAAATCTAAATATTGAGAAAATCATCTTTAAAGTTGTTCAAATTAAGTTCTTAGCAATGCATATTACTAATCAAAAATTAAGTTTTGATATATTTACGGTAGGACATTTACAAAATATCTTCCTGGAACATGATCTTTACTTAATATCCTAATGATTTTTGGCATAAAAGAAAAATCTATAATTTTGACCCATACACTGTATTGTTGGCTATTGCTACAAATATACCCCAGAGACTTAAGACTGCTTTTGTGCTCCAGGGTCACATTTTAGCTCAGCATTGCCGTCCAATCAGCCAATATTGTCTTAAATAGCCTGCATAGCACTTCATCTTTTATAACATGGGATTTTGACCAAATATACTCAATCTTGATTTTTGTCAAATGTTGCAACGATGTTAAACAATGTTTTGTTTTGTTTTTTGTGAAAAATTACAGTTTTGGACTTATAAGATAATAAAAAATAATTTAGTAACTACTAAAGAGCATGTAAAGCAAATATCTTTCCCCGATCCGCGCAATTTTCTCACCTTTTTTCCCCCTTACACTGGTATGGCTGCGCCGCTCGTCTTCACGCCTGTGTGTGTGAGTCTCGGAGCGCTCAAGTGTTTGCGTTTCTTCAGGACGCCATCCTGAAGCTGGGGCCGCTGCCGCGGTTGCTGAACGACATTAGCATGGCGCTGAGGAACCCACAGCTGCACCGTCAGGCGAGTCACCAGCCGCCCGAACGCCACCTGACCCGGCCCACCTTCAGCCGCCTCGCCACCAACGACTTCCAGAGCCTCATGATGAGAGACCTCAACAGGTGACTGTCTGTCTAACTGTCCGCATCAAATTATGAAGTCCAATACACTAACTAAAAAGCCCCATAGTGTTTTTTGGACGTGGTATACGGTACATAAACATGACGGTTCGGTACGTACCTCAGTTTTGACGTCACTGTTCGGTATGATTTCGGTTCAGCAGGGGGAAAAACTAAACATAAAATTGCTTTTTTTATTAAACAGTGGTTTACTGAACTAACGAGCTGTGGACACTGATGTTAAATTAAATGCTACGTGACATTAAGCCATTTTATTGACGTCTTTCCGCGTTTGAAACACTGATTGAACGATTAAGTGAGGCATGAGATGTTCATTCATGTTTATTTTACATTAAAACTAGTAGTAAAGAGGAAGAGATTATCGTTTGAACTGAGACGTTTTAATACAGCGATCTGCCGCGCCACATCAAAGAGCAATAAAATGGCATTTATTGTTTGAATTTCCTGAAAAAAAAGGACATAATTTGAAAGATGAGCCTTAGTTTCTTGTCAGTAACAGTATATTTAAACAGGAAGTTTCCAGTGAAGTTTCACTCGTGCAGTGGTTAAAACAATGCTGTATTTCACATGCGTACCGAACCGAAAGACCTGTACCATAATGTACTTCTATATCTTTACTGTATATGTGTAGCTGTGGGTTCATCAGACTCGTGTGTGTGTGTGTGTGTATGTCTCTGTGTGTGTGTGTGTGTGTGTGCGTGTGTGTGCATGTGTGTGTGCGTCTCTGTGTGTGTGTGTCTCTGTCTTTGTGTGTGCGTGTGTGTGCGTGTGCGTCTCTGTGTGTGTGTCTCTGTCTTTGTGTGTGTGTGTGTCTGCATTTGTGTGTGTGTCTGTGTGTATGTGTGTGTGTAGCTCTATAGACATCTCGCGTCTGCCGTCTCCCACGTCTGGTCTCTCCGGCAGCGGCGTTTTCTCTCACCCTGGAATCGCTGCGTTCTCTGAGCGAGATCTCCGTGGAAACAAAGATGTCTTCTATGTGACCCGCCCACCTCTCGCACGCTCAAGCCCCGCCTACTGCACGAGCAGCTCTGACATCACCGAACCAGACCCCAAGGTGCACACACACACACACACACTCGCTCACTCACACACGCACACACACACTCTCACACACACACACACACACACACACTCACACACACGCACACACACTCGCTC